CCCCTCCCCCCTTCTCCTCTCCCTCCTCCTCTCTTCCCCCTCCCCAGCATGCCTCCATCAAGCCAATTTATTGGGGAAGTCCAACTCACTTAAAGACCGTGTGACTCCCTTAACAATTGCAGTGATTTATTTAATGCCAGTGGCCAAAAAAAGGTCATAAAATCAGATGGATCTAAATGAATTGTGTGGGGGAAAAAATGGCCCTAAGTCCCTTTGTTAAAAAAAAAGTGCCATTATAACTTCAGACGGTCACTAAATGAATGATGGTAAGTCAAAAATGACCTGTTTTTTTGCTTGGGGGTCCTTCATTCAACTCGGTGGATGAGTTGAAGCGCACCCAATTTGCAATTTCCTTCCCTGAAAGCTCAGCTCTTCTCGGGATTAAGGAATTTAGTAACGCTCCAGAGAGATGGAGTTAAAAATGTCAATTTTAATGAAGCTCAGCGGAGCCCCAAGAAAGCCTTTTCTTCTTTTTAATTAAAGTTTTTTTTCTGAACTTCAAGTCTACCAGAAGATTTTAATGCACTCGACTTTTCATTAAGGAGGGTACCAAAAGAGAATGTGACCGAGAAGGGGGAACGGAGGAAAACAGAGGAATTACAGCAAGAAAAGGAAGAAAGGAAGAATGCAGAGAAGGCCCAAAAGTGCCTTTTTTTTCAAGAGGCAAGTGGACTTCTTTGAAGACGTTTTGCTCCTCATCCAAGAAGTTTTTTTCAGCTCTGACTGGATGGTGTGGAATGGAGGGATTTATATTCCTTGCAGACTAAAGCTGGTCGTTTGCATCCTTTTAGAGGGTCCTTGAGGCCGCTTGGAGGTTTACTCTGTGTCCTCAGGGTCACCTGAGTGGTGCAATTGAATGGGGATGCTTCTTGGAACTGCTGAAACATCCTGCAGAAAGCACAGCTCTACAACACAATCCTTTCAACAGTTCCAAGATAGCTCCACGCTCATTTGCACTACTCGGGTGATCCTGAGGACACAGAGTAAACCTCCAAGCGGCCTCAAGGACCCTCTAAAAGGATGCAAATGACCAGCTTTGTCTACAAGGAGTATAAATCCTTCCATTCCCCACCGGCCAGTCAGAGCTGAAGAAGCTCCTCGAGTGAGAGGTGGAATGTCTTCAAAGAAAAACTAGAAACTCTAGTCGCCTCTTGAAAAAGCACTGTTGGGGCTACCATAACCTGAGAATCTCTAGGGACTTCTAAAAGCAATCAGACAAGAGCAACAAAGGGGGGCTAAAAAAATGAAGAACAGTGGCAGGAATTCTAATTTAATGTCTAGTTTAATGAAAAGAAAAACTAGGGGGTGGCATGATGGCAGTCTTCCAATATCTGAGGGGCTGCCCCGAAGAAGAAAGGGGTCAACTTATTTTCCAAAGTATCTGAAGGAGAACAAGAAGCAACGGATGGCAACTAACCAAGGAGAGAAGCAAGCTAGAACTAAGGAGAAGCTTCCTAAATGTGAACAATTAATCAGTGGAACAACTTGCCTCCAGAAGTTGTGGATGCTCCATCACTGGAAGATTTTCAAGAACAAGATCAAACAATCATTTGTTTGAAATATTATGGGGTTTCCTGCTTGACAGGGCACTGGACTAGAAGACCTTGAAGGTCCCTTCCAACGCTGTTATTCTATTATTCTGAATAAAATAGAAAACAACCACTGGGTTTTATATCACTCGTGTCTCATTCTTCCTGCTCTTTAATCCCTTCTTCTCCTGCCCTGAATGGCTCCTATGTAGAGGCAAAATTGCTTTTTAAAAATCCGATCCTTATAACAAAGCCAGCCCCTTCTTCCCCACTGCGAAATCCCTTAAAGCAAGCAAAAGTTTTGCAGAAGTCCTGCTAACTAATTAGCTCACGTTGCATGCCAGATAAACTGGTCTTGGCACTGGGAATTGAAATCCATACTGTAAAGAGATGTGGGGTGGGGGGATTTTAATCTGCTCGCTGCCAGCTTGCCATCCGAGACCAAGAATGTTGCAAAAAAAATAAAATAAAAATGGAGAAGGCAGGAAGGATCCGTCCAGACGTTTCTTGCAGCATTTGGCGAAACGTTGTATTATCCAAAGGGGGTTTTTACACCGCAGAAATTCAGAAGCAAACCTCATTACGCCCATTTGTCCAAAGTTACAACGGTTTTGAAAAAAGGGGACTCATGGACAGTGTTTCACACTTATGACCGTTGCAGCCATCCCCGTGGTCACGTGATCAAAATTTGGACGTTTGGGACAACTGACTCGTATTTACGACAGTCACGGTATCCGGGGTGTGTGTGATGTCACACGATCCCCTTTTGCAACCAAGCAAAGTCAATGGGGAGTCCAGATTCGCTTAACAACCATGTGAGTAAATTAACAACTGCAATGATTCACTTAGTAACCGTGGCAAGAAAGGTCATAAAACAGGGGGGAAAGTTCACTTAACAACTGTCACTCTTAGCCACAGGAATTTTGGGCACCTCAACTGATAAAAGTGCCAAATTTGCTCACCCCTGATCCAGTCCAATGCCAACTCAGGGTCAAAATCCACACACGCATCTAAGCCTCCTGGAGTCACCAATGTGTAAATGGGGTAGCTATATACAAGTGTTTAATAAATGAATTAAAAGGAAGTTTGGAAAAGGAAAGCCAGGGAATTGAGCATGGACTTCCAATTTTTGGAGAGAGTAGATAATAGAAATTACCAACAGAAGCAGTGGTGGGATGCAAATTTTTTTTTACTACCGGTTCTGTGGGCGTGGCTTGGTGGGCGTGGCAGGGGAAGGATACTGTCAAATCTCCAATCAGAGGTGGGATCTGCTGGTTCTCCGAACTACTCAAAATTTCCGCTACCGGTTCTCCAGAACTGGTCAGAACCTGCTGAATATCCACCTCTGAGGAGAAGGGATTGGTTGGCTGATAACCTGGAACACGGCAGGTAGTCCTCATGTTATGACTGGATTTTTACTAGTGATTTTTTTCAAAGATATAATAGACATCCCCCTTCCCCCCAAAAGGATACCCAGATTTGAAGTTATGCTGTGGGCCCTTCCCGGTTACGTGATCGCATTTGGGACAGATTGGCAACCAGTTTTCCTTCCTTCCTTCCTTCCTTCCTTCCTTCCTTCCTTCCTTCCTTCCTTCCTTCCTTCCTTTTTGGTTATTAAAAATGGTTGTTTATTACACATTTTTTCTTTCTTTCTTTCTTTCTTTCTTTCTTTCTTTCTTTCT